AAAAAACCCAAAAATTTCCCCAAATTCTCCCAAAAATCCCCCCAAAATTCCCACAAAAAAACCCAAAAAATTTTGGGATTTTTTGGGGGAATTTTTTGGGGAATTTTGGGAGTTTTTGGGGTAATTTTTGGGGGGATTTTGGGGTGATTTGGGGCAGGGTTTTTAGCAGATTTTGGGATGATTTTTGGGATGATTTCAGGTGATTTTGGGGTGATTTTTGGGATGATTTTGGGGGTGATTTTGGGGTGATTTTGGGGTGATTTTGGGATGATTTTTGGGGTGATTTTGGGATGATTTTTGGGGTGATTTCAGGTGATTTTGGGGTGATTTTGGGGTGATTTGGGGTAATTTTGGGCAGTTTTTTTAGCAGATTTTGGGATGATTTTGGGATGATTTTGGGGTGATTTCAGGTGATTTTGGGGTGATTTTGGCAGGTTTTTCCCCGATGTCCTGCGGGTATTTCCAGCACGAGGGGGTGACGTTCCCGGGGTGATTTTGGGGTGATTTGGGGTAATTTTGGGCAGTTTTTTTAGCAGATTTTGGGATGATTTTAGGGTGATTTTTGGGGTGATTTTGGGGTGATTTTTGGGGTGATTTCAGGTGATTTTGGCAGGTTTCAGCCCCGATGTCCTGCGGGTATTTCCAGCACGAGGGGGTGACGTTCCCGGGGCTCCTTTACTCCCCCCGGGGCCTCGAGGCCGCCCGGGAGTTCCCGGTGGAGGACGACGACGTCTTCAACGTCACCTACCAGAAATCCGGTGAGATCGGGGCCAGAGACGCGGATTTGGGGGAAAAAACGGGGATTTCGGGAAAAATAAACTGAGATTTGGGGGAAAAAATGGAGATTTTGGGGGAAAAAAATGAGAATTTGGGGAAAAAATTGAGATTTTGGGGAAAAGAATTGAGATTTTGGGGAAAAAAATGAGATTTTTGGGGGAAAAAAAAATTTTGGAGGAAAAAAATGAGATTTTGGGGAAAAAAATTGAGATTTTGGAGGAGAAAAAGAGATTTGGGGGGAAAAAAAATGAGATTTTGGGGTTAAAAAATTAGATTTTTGGGGAAAAAATGAGAATTTGGGGGAAAAAATTGAGATTTTGGGGGAAAAAATAAGATTATGGGAAAAGAGATGAGATTTTGGAGAAAAAAGGTGATTTTGGGGGAAAAAAATTGAAATTTTGGGGAAAAAAATTGTGATTTTGGGGGAAAAAGGTTTTGGGGGAAAAAAACGAGATTTTGGTGGAAAAAATGGAGATTTTTGGGGCAAAAAAAAAGTGAATTTGGGGAAAAAAAAGAGATTTTTGGGCCAAAAACCCCTAAAAAACCCCTAAAAAATCAAAAAAAAATTGAAAAAAAAATCTCAAAAAATCCAAAAAAATTCCAAAAAAAAAATCCCAAAAATTCCCAAAAAATCCCCAAAAAATCCCCGGAATTCCCAAACCTCCCCCGCTGTCCAGGAACTGTTTGGATGCTGGAGATCCTGAGCCTGATCCGGCAGGACGGGGACCCCCAGTGGTGCCGCTCGGTTCCCAACTGGGAGCGGGGGCCGTGGCTGGAGACGCTGCTGGGGCTGCGCCGCGCCCGGAGCAACGCCCGGCCCCGCATCATCAGCTCCCACCTGCCCGTGCAGCTCTTCCCCAGAGCCTTCTTCAGCTCCAGGGCCAAGGTTTGGGCACAAAAAACGGGAATTTGGGAAAAAAAAATGGAGATTTTAGGTGAAAAAATGGGATTTCTACATGAAAAAATGTGAATTTTTTGGGGAAAATGGAGATCTGGGGAGAAAAAATGGGAATTTGGGAAAAACGGGAAAAAAAATGGAGATTTTAGGTGAAAAAATGGAGATTTTAGGCGAAAAATTGGAGATTGTAGGGGAAAAAATGTGAATTTTAGGGGAAAAAATGTGAATTTTTTGGGGGAAAATGGGGATTTGGGGAGAAAAAACGGGAATTTGGGGAAAATGGGAAAAAAACCCAGAATTTTAGGTGAAAAAATGGGGATTTTAGGTGAAAAAATGGAGATTTGGGGTGAAAAATGGGGATTTTGGGCCCCGCATCATCAGCTCCCACCTGCCCGTGCAGCTCTTCCCCAGAGCCTTCTTCAGCTCCAGGGCCAAGGTTTGGGGAGAAAAAACGGGAATTTGGGAAAAAACGGGAAAAAAAATGGAGATTTTAGGTGAAAAAATGGAGATTTTAGGTGAAAAAATGGGATTTCTACATGAAAAAATGTGAATTTTTTGGGGAAAAATGGGGATTTGGGGAGAAAAAACGGGAATTTGGGAAAAATGGAATTTTGTCAGTTTTGGGGTGAGAAATGTCAGTTTGGGGTCAGGAATGCGGGATTTGGGTGGAATTTTGTCAGTTTTGGGGTCAGAAATGCCTTTTTTGGGGTGAGAAATGCCGGTTTTGGGGTCAGAAATGCGGGATTTTGGTGGAATTTTCTCAGTTTTGGGGTGAGAAATGCCGGTTTTGGGGTGAGAAATGCGGGATTTGGGTGGAATTTTGTCAGTTTTGGGGTGAGAAATGCCGGTTTTGGGGTGAGAAATGCGGGATTTGGGTGGAATTTTGTCAGTTTTGGGGTGAGAAATGCGGGATTTGGGGTGAGAAATGCGGGATTTGGGGTGAGAAATGTCAATTTTGGGGTGAGAAATGCCGGTTTTGGGGTGAGAAATGCGGGATTTGGGGTGAGAAATGTCAATTTTGGGGTGAGAAATGTCAATTTTGGGGTCAGAAATGCGGGATTTGGGTGGAATTTTGTCAGTTT